TAATTCAATAGATTCACCTTCACGGAAATATAACAGCTCATTGGCGAATTGGAAACCAGCAGTTGGTTTATCTTTCTTAACATTGATAGTCAGTTGATTAGATTCATTGAGTTTCTGGCTACATCCTACCACATCTGTTATCCTTGTTAGAACCACTGAATATACACCTGGAATATTAAATTGTGGTGAATTGATTGCATGACTTGGTCCTTCAATGGCTCCAACTGTAAATGAATTCCTCTTTACCGAATTAAAAACCACTTCATACCTATGTGAATGAAAAAAAAGAGTGGGTGAGTATTTGTGCAAGTATGGGCATCATTGATTATAATATGAAAATAAATATGTATTTATAAATGTCTTGATGTAATTTGTAAACTTCATTAAAATAGCAACTTACGTTAATACAAAAGGTTCAGATCCCAAGAAATTGACAACAAATTCAACATAATTACCAACACAAGTATTAATGGCAGGTTTATGATCGATGTCTTTGAAAAAGGCAATAGGTTTCGGGTGAACTTTCTGAGTGTAGACAACATTATCAATTTTAACACCTTCACGATATACATTATCATATAAATGATAAAATTCATATCGATATTCTCCAGAAATATCTGGTTTTATTATTTCAGTGTGGGTTTTCTTTTCACTTTTTATCAGTTTTGACTGCCTTGTACCATTGAATGTTACTGCATATTCAACATGCCTTTATAATTAATAATTAATATATTTAAAATTAAAAAATTTGTTAATAATAAACGGTTATATTAATTATTATAATTGTAATTATATCAACCATATAACAACTGTGAAGTTTACCATGGATGAACGCCAGTAAAAGTAAGGATCACCTCAAGACCAACTTCTCCGGGACAATTCTCAGCAGGTATAGGGATGGTTTCAATTTTGACTGTTGGTGGGAATGCCATCAATACTGATTTCATTGAAGGAATTAGAATTTGACCTGAACATTTTTCATCATTAACTCCCAGCAATTTATACGTTCCTGACTTATTAACACTTATGGAAGTTAGTTTATTTGTATCATAGTCTACCATTAAATCAAGTATCTCATCTGGATTTTTTGAAGTGGTGACAGCATATTGATCAACACCCTCTGTCCAATATCCAACTTGTACTTTCCACGGTGCTATATATATATATATATTTAATATTTAACATTTAATATTTAATATTTTTTTGATTTTTTTTACAAATAACAAAAATTGATATTTACCATGACCAGTTAGAACTAGATAAATTATAGCAGATTTCTGAGGTCGAAAATGTTCAGTTGATTCACTATAAAAACTTGCAGTAGGTCGTGAATTAACATTGAAATCAATGGAAGATGTCAAATCATGTGATTTTTTTGTGTATACACGAGTATTATTTAAAAAGTCTTGAACTTGCAAAATGGTTAGACGATAAATGGCAATTGTGTCAGCGGTAAGATTCAACGGTACTTCAATCTGTTGATTGGTAACCCACTCATAATTTCCAATAGCTGCCAGGCTTTCAGCTTCAGCTGCTGTAATAGTTGAAGTATAATATGATGGCATGACATCATTTATTGACATATTAACCACGTCGAATTTTACTCTTCGTTCATAGATCACATTTAATGGTGGCACACCATTCAGAATCAAGTTGACATTGAGATCATCATTGATGCACAAATCCAATTTAGATTTTGGTAAGAATATAGCTTTAGGACAATGAGGTATTATGGCTTCTCGTTTATAAATTTTTATCCCCATCCCACTATCATCTAATGCCTCATCAAGTTGGTAAACTCCAGGCCTAAACACTGGAAGATAGACATAGACAACATCCTGGATAACATCAATGAAACGATTATTTTGAATGTCTTTTTTTTTGTATTCGTAAAAAGTTTTCAATCCTGTTTCGAAATCTATTATTTTAAATTTGATATTTATTGGTGATGTCTTGTTGAATAGAATTGGTACTTTCATCATCTTAGTGCTGGCACTTTTTTTCCTATTATAATAATCATCTGTTGAACTATCTATACAGAATTTATCATCATCTGGATTTAATTTTGCAGTTGCATATGGTAACAATCTAACTGTATGTTTACCTTTTATGTGGGATGTATTATGTCTTATAACTAAATATATATGTATGAGTGTGAGTGTGCGTGTGAGTGTAAGTTTGATTTTAAATATTTTGTTTTAATATAATATTATATTTTAGTTAGTAATTTTACTTTCTATTTTTATATCCTCTTCAGAACTAACAGCTCGTACTTTTTCAGTCTTTAACTTTTCATATTGTTTTTGAACTATATTTATTATTATTTATTTATTAGATATTACCAGAAGAAAATAAGCATCTAGTTAGAAATCATTAATCATTAATCATTTACAGATAAATAAATAATCAATCAATCAATCAATCAATCAATCAATTTGCTACTAACTCATTAAACTTGACACACTTAGTATTTCTGATAAGGGTCTAATAACTCCAATTTCTAAAGCCTAAGAGAATAAACGTTAAATTATATACGCATATGTATATTATCTGCGTTTGTATAAAGTAATAATAAAGTATATATTTGTACAAATTTTTACCGAAGCAGGCTGTAGAAAAGCGTAGTTTATAGTACTCATAACAAATATAAAAAGTAGCCAGCGCCAAAGAGGATGCTGTAACCAAGGTATTCGTAATATGTACAAAGTAAGGAAGTAGATCGAGTCAAATATACACCATTTTAACCATATATCGTACGTTGATGATGCGAGTATTGATTTATCCTCTGGAGAAGAGTAATAATAGTTGAAAAAATCAAGTATTTTGATTGCAAGCAAGGCAACAAAAGTTGAGACGGCTAAAAGTCTTTGAGTTGGTGCTGCTATTATTTCGGTTGGTATTAATGGTAATGTTTGTTGGTTCAAGTCGCGTAAAGTTCGTGGATTATTATCATTCATGTCTATATATATTTATGATTAAAATTAAAAAAAATTTTTGATTTTTATATCACATGATCCCTATTCGATGTTTGTGTAACAAATTTTGAAAATCCTCGATCTAAATAAATTTTCATATGTTAAGAAATTGATAACTCGGTAAAATAGCATTACTATATAAAATGTTTTCCTGAATCAGATGTGGGCTATTAAATATTTCTAAATATGTTATTTTGAGATGAGAAAAATAATAAATTTTAATTCGAGCGAAACCTTGTTGTGAATATGGTTAGATGATGCTTTAGCCTTAAAAAAATTACCAAAATTAGTGAGTTTATTCCTAATATTTATTAATATGATACAATGATAGCAAAACACTTCATTCATTCGTACAATGTATGTATGCATATACATGCATATTCAATTGATCATTCACTAACTAAAATAATCTATATTTTATTGGCTCATTCAAAATTTAAACTGTAATGTATATTTGTTATTAAAAGAAGTTGTATCAGTATTTGTTGTTGTCATTCAATGTCAAATCCACTTGTGCATCTAACACATTCACATCTTTTAGTTGTAAGGCTCTGCAATATCATTACTATATCTTTACAAATCTATCAAAAATATGTCATAATTAAACTGTATGTATTTCAAACTCTGATCAAAATTTAATTTTATAATAAATATATTACACATAACTACAACTTAATTAACTTAATTCATGAAAGTCACAGGTAGTTACAGATTCTTTTTGGTAAAAAGTTTGTGCATTTTTTTTTTGGTTTTTTTATAAATTATAAATAAATGTATTATTTTCCTGAAAGTTATTTCTCTTTTATAAGGAATTTTTTTCTTTATAATAAAAATATAAGAATAATAAGACTATATTAATTAATATAAATAAATATAATAAATATATATAAGGAGTATACAAACACTCGGTACAACAAAAAAAAATCCATATTTTTTTTTTTAAAAAAAAAAAAACTTAATTAAAAAATTTACAAATGCCAGAGCCAATTTTATCAACTTTTAAAAACTTTATTCCTTCTTCTGAGCAGTTTGGTTCTATTGGAGCAACTACTACATCAACTGTAAATAATACAATTAATAATACTACACCAATATCAACAATGTTGACATCAACCACTTCAATAATTACAACTCCAATAACGTCAATATCGTCTAAAACTTCTGCTGCCACATCGTTTACAACTACGTCCTTTACTAATTCAATCCTTTTTTCTCAAGATGAAAACAAAACCTTTGTTGAACATTTGCAAATACTTGTTAAAATAGAGCCTCCAAACACAATCATTTATCATGCTCTATCAACTGACTTGCCCATACCTAATCTATTAGAAATATTTCAAACTTCTGCTCAAAAGATTGACCACTGGTTAGAATATGCTAATGTCACTATACTTGCATTAGACTTTGACATAAAGGAGGGTGTTAATATTAGGAATGTTAGTGAAATGGATGTGCTAATACACAAATATGCCTCTAACATTGATTTATTACAAGAACTTTTTCAATTAACTCTATCAAAATTAAATAGTGGTGATGATCAAAATTATAAAGACATCAAAGTTACTTTTGACAGAATACATTCAGACTGGTTAGAAGTAAAATCTTTTTTTGCAAAGGTAAAAAAAGAAATATCAGAGTCAAAACAAAGACGCGAATTCTTGGATAAAATGGATCAAATTTTAGCATCTATAGAAGAATTAGATATAAGTATATTTGAATATCAGGAACAAAGACATAGTGACAATAATCAAAATAATAATGAGTCATCATTTCCTTTTCCTAGATTAAGTTCAAGCCCTACCCCAAGAAATAATAGACCAATAACTCCTGGTGCTCCAACTGGCATAATAAATAATGGTAGTAGTAATAATATTGATTTTGATGCTGCTCTCATCAAGTTGGATTCAAAATTAGAACCTTTATCTGCGCGTATTGAATATTTGAAATCTCGTCTAACTGGCTCTAATGCTCCCTCAGATCCCAACGGTATATTAAGGAAAAAATATAATTTGCTAAATGACAAATGGGAGTCATTGAAAAATGAAATGGATTCGTTAAGGGAAGAATTGAAAGAGGATAAATGGGTTGGTGTTTTTAAACAAGTTGGTGGTAATGCTAATCAAATGATGGATTCACTTGAAAGATCCGTCAAACAATGTAAAGATTTTATGTACAGGGCCGCAAACGGGCCTGACTCTACATTGCCTTCAAAATATTTAAAAAATTCATCTTCAAGAGGTATGTTAAATAATAATCAAAGGCCTTATTCAAGAGAATCCAATCAACAACAAAATAATAACAACATACAACCACAAGTGCCAATAACTCCTAGAAATTATCAAAGGCTTTATAAAAATTTCGACGCTAAAAGCAAATATTATGTACCAGCTGTCACAAAACTGTTAACTATGCTTGGTAATAATATTAATAATCAGATGACTCGAGATTGGGACTCAATTAATAAATATAATGCAATGAAAGAAAGATGGGATAGCATACTTGATGGTGTTGATGATGTTCATAGAGACATGCCTGCTCTAGAATACGCGTTAGATGCTTCATTAATCCCAAGTAATTCACCTCCCTCTTCAATACCCTCCTCAGTAGCTTCATCGCCACCAATTTCTCCCAACGTGGGGCCAACAAATCGTCGGCCTGTATCTCCATATAGAAGAGTTGTATCTCCTACAGAATATGGATATTCTTCATCGCCACCAAGGAATAACAATAATTTGATGTCATCTTCCACGAGATCAAAATCACCGTCTCCTCCAAATGGTCGCAGGTCCGTCAGCCCACCACCAAGCATATCGTCAGACCGGCAATGGAACCCTCATCATCAACACCAAAATCATCAACAACAACAATATAATCATAACTATTACGATCATAATCAACATCATAATCAAGATCACCATTATAACCAAGATCACCATTATAATCAAGATCGCCATTATAATCAAGGTTATGTTAACAATAATAGTCATAATAGTCATCATCATAGTAATAATAATTATCATGGTGGTGGTGGTGGTAATTATCATGGAAATAATTATCATCGCGCATTATCACCTCCACCAAAAAATGGAAGATCAAAATCATCTAGCAGATCTGGATCACCGATTCGTCCAACTTCTACCAGACCAATATCACCAGATCGTGTTAATCCATCAGCAATACCACGCCCCGTTACAAGTATGGGTATAGGTTATAGGTCACAATCAAGAGCTGGAGCAAGGTCATTTTTACCAAAACCTAGTACACCTCAACCAGGTATGACACCAACAATGTCTCGTCTAGAAATGATCTCGCCTACATTACCACCAATCAACTCATTTTCATCGTCAAGACGTAATAACCCAGTAAGGTCGCCAACACCATCGTCAGTGACAAGTAGTACATCGATAACACCAGAAATTTATGATGATAATAATAATGGTAGACCAATTACTCCAACAGATACTTTATTACAAAGGTCCATGTCTTCTTCTGAAACACGTTCAAAATACGTACCATTAAAAAATGATCCACTAGACATTGAAGTGGCAAAGGTGGTAAATTCATCGCCATTAGCGGTAAAGGTGGAAAGGGTATCAACTGGTACGGGAAAATATTATTTTGGTAATGAGAGTGTTGGACGTGATAGAAAAGTGCATCTTTGTAAATTAATGAATTTTGCAAGTGGTCGAAATAAAGTTATGGTTCGTGTTGGAGGAGGATGGCAAGATTTAGACATGTTTTTATTAGATCATAGTTTAATGAATGTTAGAATTTAATATATATTTTATTTATAAATTTCTTTTTTTTTATTTATACTTCAACTTTAGAATTGTACAGGTATCTTTGTTGTTCAAATAGTTTTTATTTTAGATAAACTTTATTTAATTTTTATCACATTATGCATTACATTATATTTATCAAAAGCAAGAAAAAAAAATCAAAAAAAAACATTAATTTTTTTTTGTGTATATATATATAGAAGTTTCTTATTATATGGGCCAGGCAGGACCCGGATTTTGATAATAAAAGTTTTAGTTAGTAAGTTAACATGTAAATTTGGGGTGAAGCTAAATAAATATTAATAAAAAAGTTAGAAAATCCTACCGTAAAAAGTAAAGATATGATGTACAATCACGTGATCTTGTCGATGAGTTAGTTGTTCCAATTGGCCAATGAGATTTTGGTAAAGTTTTTGAAAATTTACAAGGAAAGTACTCAAGGGGCTAAAGGAAGTCAACAACCATGTCAAAAGGAAATAAACATAATAAAGAGATTAGTGATTGTGTGTTAATATGTGATCATGCATGCCATTATGAATGTTTCAAAAATTAGATTTTAAATGCAAATATTGCCTTCAGTATAAACATAGTGGGTATTCAATTTTAGAAGATGATCGGTAATAGTTGCACCACATATGTTTTATATACAAAATGGCCCGTCATCTGACTTTAACTCAATTGTATGCCACCAAAATCACGCCTTCTATTTTATAGATCGCAAAAGTAATTCAATAAAAGGTGAATTAATTCAGATGTTAGCTATAGAAGTCTTTTTAGCATTTGGTAAATTATATGTTCACTGAAAATAATAAACTTAAATTAAATCATTTAACAAATATTATGGACCATAAATAATATTAATAGAAAACCCATGTTCTGTTTAATATTCTGGTTAATAATTTGAATAAGTAAAACGTTTATTTAAATTATTCTTTTGTATTGTTAGAAGGTGCATTTATAAACATTAATCATAATTCTTACACTATTTCATAGTTCTAAATTATGTCATGTAAAGGATTACTGAACCAAAAGAGGACATTAATTGGGTTATAGTGGTGTTATTAATCTATGGTGTGAATGCATGAACTAAAGATACTTGCTGTAAATGATTTGTAGGTAGCTGCTACAATTGCTGTAAATAGCTGTTGGTAGCTACCATTTTCCGTAAATAATTACGGCTGCCACAAATAGATGCAGTTGCCGTAAATAGATACGGCTACCACAAATAGATGCAGTCGCTGTAAATAGATACTGCTGCAAATAGCTATGACTACCGCAAACAGACACGTCTGCCGCCAATAACTACGACTGCTGCAACGTTTTCAATTACTGTCATTAGTATTATTAGTCATATTAGTCATGCGAAAATTTTCTTGAATTATTTGTGATCTGCAGTAACTGAATTTTTGAATTGTAATTGATGCATTCAATTAGTCGGTCATTCATTTACTATTTACTATGAATTATATGTAAAATAAGATTTGCGGCAGCCGTATCTTTTTGCGGCAACCGCATCTGTTTGCGACAGCCGTATTTATTTGCGGCAGCCGTATTTATTTTATAATGGTAGTTACCATTGCCGCAAATAACCAATTACGGCAGGTGTCTTAGGCACAACAGATTTAAGCCTAGAAGGAACTAAAGGACACCTAAAAACCAATGAACATAAAACATCAGAATTACAACTTCAAAATGAAATAAATAAAAAACAATTAGCGATTATTTCATTAATGATAAATGATTATTTTTTATATTATTTTTATTTTTATTAAAATTGTTTGGTGATGGTCAACAAAATGTGCGCATTCTTTATGTAACACAGCCGCCCGTATTCGATTTCTATACTGGTGGATTTTGAATGGATTATAAGAAATCAAGTTTGGTAGTATTTATTTCAATTATTTTATTATTTTTTTAAAAAAATTTTTTATAAGGCAACAAAAGTATCACGTTAACTCATTTGTAACATATGTGAATTGATCGACATGGGGTATTAATTTCCAAATTTGGAAAAAATCTCAATGGACATGATAACTACTTCTACTAAAGAGTATATACTTGCATCAACTTAAAATTCATTTGATTCCATTCGAAACTAATTTCCTTCTCCAATATATAAAGATCATTCTGCAATTTGGAAACATCAGACGAATAAAAATTTAATTTTTGCGTGATATCTAGAAGGGAGATCATCGTAAAATTTAGCCAATGAAATCAAACTTCCATCATCTGTTTTACACGCGTTCTTATTTTTATTATTATTTCCTGTTCCAGCCAATGAAACTTAAATTTTATCGTGTAACAAACTGTACTTAAATTACTATGTTATCGCCGATCACAATAAAATGATTTAAAAAAAAATGTTACGTGATTTTTTTCTCAAAATTTTTTTTTCCAAATAATAAGACAACCCATTATTTATTACTTATTAAGTAATTACAATATTAACTTATATTTATTATCTTATAAAAAAAAACCTTTAAAATTTACAAAGCACATCATTTGCACAATTTAGCATAATTACTCATCTGCTAATTTACAATTTATAAAATATTTTCTTAATATATAATAAAAGATGTTCACAGAAATAAAAAGATTAAACGTATTCGATTACAGTGATTCTGAACTAATCTCACAAGTACATACTACTTGTGTTGAACAAGGTATTCCTCTTGTAATAGAGAAATACCATTTAAAACAAAATTGGAATGCTGCTATATTCACACAAAATTGGTTAAGAGACAATTACGGACAGCAAGGTACTATATTTATTAATATTTAAAACAATTCTGATTTCATTTTTTTGAGAAAGAAGGATCTGGTACAAGATCCAGAATTATTTTTAACAAATGCTTTTACAGTCGAGTTGTATATTTCTAATAATTAGTTAATTTATTCACCTAAATTTTAATTCTTAATAGAGATTACTGCTCGTGATATGCTAACTGGAACAGATGAAATTATGAAATTATCTGAATATCTTGATTTTGTAGAAAAGGCTCCAATAATCGAGAAAACAGGGGAGGAGAAGAAGAGACTATATGGTAAAGACATTATATGTCCTCAAGGCTGGAAGGATGCTATTGATGAATTTTTACCAAATTACTTTACATACCATGATGTGAATGATCTCATGGGTAAATATTGAATTATCAGTTATTTGTAATTTATCCATTATAATAAATAATATAAATCTATTATTTACAATATAATTATATAATTAAGGTAATTTGCGTCCACAACTGCGTGCAGACAATCTTATGATATATGTTGGCTTTGGAGGAACAAAGTAATAATATAGATATTTTCCTTAAAAAGAAACTTTGAAGTTAATTACAATTATATATTTACTGAATTTGGTAATAGAACCCCTCTACACAAAGATATGTGTGCTTCATTTGGTCACAACATAATGGTCAGCGCAGATCCTGGTAAAGAATTATGAATAAATTTCTAATATTAGAAACTATATTACATTTTATATATTTATTAAATTCGAATAATTAAATCAGGTGCATTTTCAACTTGGTATATGGTCAGAAGTGAAGACGCAGATAAAATGCAAAGCTTATTAAAAACGATTAATCAAGATATTGATCTTGAATGCTACACTGCCACTCCTGAATTTCTCTCAACTGCTGATTTCACTGTATATAAGACTGATCAACACATTGGTGATCTAGTGTTAGTACCATCTGAAAGTTGCCATGAAGTAATTAATGAGGTAAAAGCATAATTATTATTAAAATTAATTATTTTTGTTTAGCTTAATTGTATTTTTTTTTTAAATTTTTAAAGGGTTGTTGCACAATTAAAATATCATGGAATAGAGTAACTCCATATTCTATAAAATCTGCATTGGAAACTGGTCTACCGAATTACCATCGGTAAATTTTTTAGAAAATAATATTTTTTTTTAAACTTTTGTGACAACCGTATATTTTATAATTTCATTAATTAAACATTACTAATTAATGATTTTAATTTCTTCAGTGTGTTACGTCCTGAAACTTACAATATAAAACGTATAATCTATTATAGCATCATAAAATGGACTATTGGATTTGGATTAGTTAATGTTAATGATTTCAAGAAAATGAAATTTGAAGGATCGGATTCTGGCACACTTAAAAAGTATATTGATACTATCTGTTCTCAACCTGGTCGTGACATAAAAGCTGAATATAAGACTTTAATATTGTCATTTAAAAAACTCATTGAAGAAGAATGGGTCAATGCAGAAGCTTGGGATGATCGCAAAAAACTCATGAAGGTAATTTTGAAAACAATTATAAACATATTTTCTTTATCATATCAAATTAAAAGTTATTTTATGCTAAATATAGTTAACTAATAACCACGAAAGTGGACTTGTTTGTGATTATTGTCACTGTAATATTTGGAATCGACATTACCATTGTTATTCTTGCCAGACGGAAGATGAAACATATTTTGATTTATGTTTACAATGTTATGCATCTGGAAGGGGTTGTCAACATTTTATGTATCTCAGAAGGCACCTGAAAATGAGACATATCTTAAAAGTTTATAAAAGTGCAAGAGATACATATTATAAAAAGTTTGACCAGGACCCGTTATTGCCAAGTACAATTGAATTAGAAGGGTAAAAATTAATTAATTAATCAATTATTATTATATTTATTTGTTTTGATTTAATTTTTAATTGTAAACAGCCTTTTAAGATTTTAAAAAAGTTTTTTTTGTTTCTTTGGGAAAACAGTAGCATTGGCACGTCAAGTTATGATTTATGGAAGGCTTCATATGAAGATTTAGAACCACCTACTCCCTTACCACACCCTAATGTTGTTTATATGGAGCCTTCAAAACTATTTGTCAAAGAAAAGAAAGATAACTTAAAAAGAAAACAAATTGATGATGGTAATGATAATGATAGCGATAGTAATAGTGATGACAATGGCAATGGAAATACTACTAGCGACAATAATAAAAATAAAAATGAAAGTGTGAAAATAAAA